GATGTAGACAAAGCCAGCCTCTGAAACACCGTACACCTTTCTATCCAGACAATAAATAATGTCCAAAGGCAATAGTTCCAAGAAGATACATACATTACACAACTCATACATGTTACTGTTACAATGGAGGGAGACTGCTTCTATAGAACTGTGGCTGCTAATTGGTCCAGTGACCAGATGATACATAAGTTAATAAGGAGTAGTGGTGGAGTAATGAAGACAGGGGAAAACAAAAAACTCAGGGAAAAACCTGTTCCAGTGCTCCTTTGTCCACCAAAATTCCCACATGGACTGTCTTGAGCAGGAACACAGGTTTCTATAGTGAGATGCTAGGGACCAACTGCCTCAGCTATGACATGGCCAACACACACATAATCAGCAAACATGCAATTTTACTATTGAATGATTTTACCTGGAATATGTATGCTGCTCATCTTATTTAATGACACTCCTCGAACAAAGCCATACAAACTGACTGTACGGTCCACTTTGGGATTCTGTCTGATCAACTCTGGTGGAGTCAAATCTTCAAATCTATCCACTAAAAGAAATAAAATTAAATTACTTCATGATTTGCTTACTGCTTGCATTGATTTTGTAACATCTGAAATACAGTGTGCAAAGTGTATATATGAAAGGGCCAACTACAACACATTATATGAAACATAAATAAACAATAATGAGGAGGAAAGACCAACATACCTACAATATAGGGATGTGTTGTCCTCCAAGTGAGGGGTCTGAACTTCATTATGGAGATAAACCTGCTCAAGTTCTTAACTTCATTACGAAGGTATTCACCATGCAACAACCCTGATAAATAGAACAGCTTGGCTCCTGCATACACTTCTGTCCAGAAACGGTGTTTCAGTGTCTTCTTGGTGTTCTTCAGCTGTTTGTTGTTTTTCAGCATGTCCAAATGAGTCAAAACTCCCATTACCCTTGGCATTCCATGAACCTAATTATACCATAAACAGTACACAATAGAGTACAGTGGACACCCACACACATTTCATATATTTGCAGACATGTTTACATCCCCCCCACCATCCGCACAAACAAAATTCAATGCACCTGGCTTTAAAGATTTAATAATTCTCATAAGTGGGTACCCAGGTACCATGGTGTAAATGTATTATAAAGATTCTACTATATATAGGACAGACTGCAGCATATATGTCTTGGAAAAGCTTCCTCCACAGCTCACTATGAACAAATTTTGGCTTAACTACTATATTGTTCTATGAGCTCTACCTGACAAATGTTGAGGAATTCAAAGATCTCCATTTCAAAGCCAAATGAAGCATCAACCAAAAGCAGAACTAGGTCTGCAACTTTAGCAACATCAATCATGCTGTTTATGTCATTATTGCATTCCATTAATGTTATTCGCCTCTTCTTACCTGAAATACAAAGTGTATTAACTTTTAGAGTTTTTCTTTGCAATAAACATGGCATCAATAGTACAACAATTTTAAAAAGTTCTACTGCCTAAGTACCACATAATGAAGGCATATAGGAGGAACGGGGGTTAAGTTCATATGTTCTTAACTTCACCTGTTTGAATTTGAGTGGTCAGCTTCATTACCTGGCTAATTTACACCTGGGGAAAAGCTGTAATTCCAACTGGATATGTGTCATGGTGGCAAGGATAAAAATCCTTCCCCTGCCAAGAACTGAGGTTAAGTATTATAGAAAATAACCACATACACTATACAACTGAGAAATCCTGACTTGTTTGAATCCAGCTAAATATAAAGACAGAAATGAATCCATGCCAGAGGGCGGTTACAAGGTGCATGTTGGACAATTCTGTTGTAAAACATAATTCTGTGCTATTTATCAGTTTCAAACCATCTTTGAAGTGATGCATACTGAATAAAATTCAAGGAAAAATTAGTTGCATCTCCACAAAGTGTAATATTAATGCTTTTTATTAGCTTGGTGAAAAACAAATGTCCGGTTACCTCTGTAACAAATTAAAATGAAGAAAGATAAAAAATCACGAAGAATAGACATGCATAACATCCATACTCCAAATCTGGAGTTCACATTTTCACTTATTCCCTTTTGGTACAGACTTGACAGTCTCACTAAAGTTCATATACTTAATCAAATTCAGGAATTTTGTGAAATTAAATACTAACCTGAAACAAGTGTGATTGGTCCTTTTAGGCTTGTCAGTGGTTGTCGGGTAAACGTTTTTATCAAACAATGGATAAGAGTTGTTTTACCAACTTTTGGGGGTCCGACTACTACAACAGTAATAGGTGGTGGTTCCAATGGTGTCCGATCAACCAATGGAATATGCTGCTTCTTAGTTTCAATATCTTGCTTCCTGGAAGAAATGTTAATTTAGTACTGTTCTGCAGTATATGAAATTTTTGGTTTCTAAATGCTTCCTCAAAAAAAAGTACTGTTAATTTAGTATTATTCTGTATCATATGATTCCTACTCCTATTACAATTTGTTTACTTTTTATTTAAGGATTATTTTGTTTCCTGAGAGAAAAGTATTAATAATTTAATAATGGTTGTACTATATAAAACTCCTGTTTCTTAAATGCTATGTTTAATGTATAGTTAATTTAAATTTAGTGCTTCTAGGTACTGGAGAAAATGTTCGTTCTTGGAAATTTTCTGAAACATATTTATTTAATATTGCTCTCTGTCATATGAAACTAAATAGTATTAACAGAAAACAGAAACATTATATTTAATACTGATTAGTGGTACATGTGCCAAATATAAACAAACTTTTCTGAAGGATTCAGACATTTTACAAACAAATCAGAATGGTGATGTCATTTACTCTGGTGATTTTCCATTGACACTTAAAGTCAGAAATGAAAAAAGTCATTCACATGACAATTCTGCAGAAAGAAGTAGCAAAGTGTAGCAGAGGGCTGTAATCAGTGATCCTGGATCCAAACAACTTAATTTACAGTAAAAGACATAACCCCAAGAGTAACTAACTAACTAGATGGCTTACAGAACCCAAAGGTTCATCACCAAACTAACCAAAGCCCTTCACTGGACCCAGTGCTGGGCCACCAACAACCAGTTTTCTTCAACTCTCATCTCCCATAGATCCTGTCTGAGATTATCCTCCCATCTATGTCTAGGTCTCACTGGTGGTCACATAACTACAAGTACATATAAATATTTGAAATTTTGCTAATTTCAGGAAACAGGTATGGATGTGCAAAAATCTCCAGTGAACAGCAGAATGTATATTCTATTTGGTCAACATGGAAACATGTTATAGCAGCCAAATATTGGTGTTTTCTTGTTATTGTTATAAGTACTCAACCTAACTGGTGATCCAAATCTTAAAACCTGGAACTAGCAATTAACTTTTTTCTACCCACCTTCCTTATCAGGAATGAAGCACAACTTATGAACAAGCCCAACCACATCTGATTTGAGTTTGTGTCCAGTTATCAATGGCAAGAAGCTTCCTGAACAGGACAACAATTCAACCACAATAATTGGATCTTTCTTCCTTCAGAGTTCCTCTTTTTATTATCAGAAAAATGTACAACTACTTACCTTCTAAACTGGCGTTCAGCTCGTACTGCTGAATTGAAAGTGAAAGCTTTTGGGTTTTTCTGTTTGTCTGTTAGCTCCTGAACATGCACATTTTTAGTCTTTTTCTTCTCAGCTTTACGACCTACAAATAGAAAATCGTTTTAATCATTCTTAGGTACTTATGTTACTTAGTATCTAATATGATATGAAGATAATCATGAATGGCAGGCAGATAAGGATCTGGAAGGAAGCAACCGTAGTCTGTTTCAAGATGCTCCTACCATCCATATGACAAGGCTCGAGATACCAATAAAAAGCTCAGTCAGAAGTCCAGCTATGAGATGAGCCAATTACATCATGAATACAAGTCTAACACTAACCACAGAATGGAGAAGCCTGATATGTTACATCATCTGTTCACATACATTGGTTTTAGAAGAGCAATATTTACTTTTCTTTGTGGGGAATGCTTAAAAAACAACTATGCTGTTTACATAAATTTGTCCTCTTCAACATTAAACCTTGATTAATTAATATAACTTTGTTACAAGCAAAAATCTTTCTCCCATCCCAATAAAATGATGGGTATCAAGAAAATGCAAAGCCAAACTTGACCAATTTTAAAGATGCAGCACTGATATTTCTTCTGGAAGTGTAGCCCCAACACAGAAGTACCACTTCCAACAGGATGAAATTATACGTTTATATATAGGGCTATTGTTCTCAGAAAACTCCATATACCTGCATGTCTGTCTCTATGGGTTTTCTGTCTTTGCAGTATATCGTCTTCTGCCATTCCTGACGTATTCTTGCTGCTGCTGCTGCAGGGTCTATTGAATTTACTGCAGTCTCACCTAGATACCAACTTCATAACCTCAATTCCTAAAACAAAACTTTAACTTTATATATGACGTCTTTTACTTCTTCATTGCTTCGTTATTTATTCCATGTGAAGACAACGGTTATTCAGTGTCGGATGTTACGTAAACCACAAATCTCACATGTGCATAAACTAAACACAAATTATACACTAGAACCATCGATTACCAATTGATGGTTTGAACAGTTTATGTAACCTCGGAATATGACTCCCAACATTTTCACCAACTGCTTATATCAATTATTGTTAGATGGCATTTATTCTGACTGGAAGAAGACCTGCTAAAAATATGTAGTTCAGAAATTTTACCATACGCTATAGTTGGTAGATGGGAGGATAATGTCAGGCGGGATCTATGGGAGATAGGAGTTAAAGGAGACTGGATTTTGTTGGTCCAGGACAGGGTCCGGTGGAGGGCTTTGGTTAATTCGATGATGAACCTTCGGGTTCGGTTAGCGATCTAGTTAGTTAGTTATAGTTGGTATTTGACCCTCAAAATTTTCACCAACTGGTTATATCAATTGTTGTTAGATGGAAGCAAAGCATTAATTCCTGTTGTACTACTGTTCAAGATATGTTAGTAGTAGTTCTAAAATTTTGAGAAACAAACCTTGACTTGAAGTTTCCAATCGAAAACAAAATAATCAATGTTCAGAAGTCGATATCCAACCTATGGAAATGAATATTTGTGTTGGGTGTTGTTATTAGCCATTGTAGTTTGCGGATTGCTACGACTATGAGACGAAGTTTCTTAAATATCTGATTCAATTAAATACAGTTGTATAATCTGAATTAAGTTATTTTACGTGCGTGTGAACAAATTATTACTCAACATGACAGATGTTCGAAAACGACGCCCTGACACAACTAACGATTCTGACAAGGCTCGAGAGACAGAAAGTGATCAGGTGGGTCTCGAATAAATTATTGTTACTAACTGTTAGAAATGCCTTACGCGGCACTTGTTTGTTGCTATTAAATTACTTACTCTCAACTAACATGGGTAAAGCTACCTCATGTAATCTTATTGACATTAAATGTGATTGGTCCCATTTGTAAGTCAGAAAGTACTGACAGAATTGTAAATTTCTGCTGAATCATATTTTGCCTAATGACAAGTCATTATATCACATTATTATTTAAATATTTTATGTAACTTTTTCATTTTGATAGTTTTAGTTTTTGTTATCAATGACTGGCCAAGGTTAAAGTGCTACTTCCAATTGGCATTGTAATTGAAATCTTTACAAAACTTGCCCCACAGATATACAAGCAGTTTAAGGAATATCAAACATTGTTCTAATTGTTATGAATTACTGTAGACTTTGGAAACAACAGGATACAGTTTTGTGTAGAACATACCATTTTATTTTATATCTTTACGATACAATGAACACTTTCATTGGATAAATTTGGATTGTTTTTGTAAGGCCGAGTAATTTTAGGTACAATCCAGTCATTGTCAGGTTAAGAGGGTTATGGTTTGTGTTATCTAGTAACTGTAAATCAACCCAAGCAACATGTATATTATCACTGTATTGTAAAGTTATTTCCTGTTTTACTAACTACTATGATTATGTTTGTAGAAATCTAGTAACATATGAAACATAAATGAGAAAAGCCTTCACTGCTGAAATTCCACTTTTGATCATTTTCATGGGATCTTTGATTTTCAGGGTATTGTTGTTCTGGAATCTACTCACAAGGTCAGGTGTATGATATTTTGGTTTTGGAAGTGGCATGAGTTATGCTATAGCAGTGTATTTGTAGTTTCTTAGTCCCACTTGTACCATTTAGAAAAGTAGTTTTTAACATGTGGCATATTTCATTACCCTCACCTTTCATTCTTAGCTCTGGTTTCAGAGTTCACATAACATAACTTATATGTGACTTCTTCCCTAGAGGTACTTCAAGCTAAATTTTACATGCAGTTTTCATTTTCTTTGTATGTTAACATGATCAGTCCATGTCATCTTCTTTAACTTTATCTAACAATATCAGGTAAAGAGCAGAAATTATTATGTTCCATGTGTAATTTAATAATCTGGCCTCCTATTACATCCTTTACCTTAGGTTCACTGTCTGCTTCAAGACATCACTCCTGAACACGAAGTTTTATATAAGTCTAAAACTATATTTATGTATTATAATCTCTTAGGGTTTAGCTAGAACACAGGCACATAGGTGATTCTGCAAATGTTTTAAACTGTTGCAAAACCAGTTGTGAGAATGCAATCATATAAAATTAAGCAGAGATCCTACAAAAGATGTGAAATAGAAATGTTTTTTGAGTTCAGAACTCTTTAAATTATGCCTGCCATTTCATACACTTTGCTATGCAGAAGAAAAAGAGTTTTTTTTTTGGCATCAGTTCATTACAGCTCATGCTGTGTAGTGAGAAGTACTGTTTAGTTGGGTCAGGTCTGTCTCGTTCATATTTGATGTTACTGTTCGAAACCTGGTGTTGTTACATGTTGTCCCATAAGTCATTTAGAACAGGTCCATTGGTCCCATTTTCCAGTCCAGTATATTATGGATGTTGGTGGTTTAAATTTTTGGTCAGAGTATCAGTTGTTTGGACTTTCATTGTATCTGTCAATCTCTCCAGGCAAATTTGGGATTGTACATTGAAGTAGTCCACAATCGTCTTATTTCCCAAACCCATATCATTTTATCAGTTATGATCATCATGCCATCAGTCACAATGTAATTTCTTTATTTGAAGCAGTATCAGTCAGTAGACGAAGAATCAATCAAACCAACAAACTATATATTATTTAGGAGGTCTCTTTTGTGCATGTGATGTAGTCTAACACATGTTCAGGCAAAGCTTCTTCTTAACCTTATAACTTTTAAGGTTATGATTTCCTTTTTGTTATCTATATAATTTTGTGCCTCCTACTGTATGATTCTAACACACCAATTTTATTACACTAAAATATTTGAGGTTTTCTGTATATATGCCAGCCACATGCCTTTGTAAACCATATTCTTAATTAACTGTCAGAAGCCAGTCTTTTTATTTCAGTGTATGGTCTTTGCAGAAACTGATGAGTATATGTTGGTAAACTTTCTACAAACAAACCAAATGGTTTTTTAATGTAAAAAGTAGATGTCTTCAGTGGACAACAGAAGTGCCACAATCTCCTCCCATTACTAGTAACTAATGATTTACCCTAAATGGCTTCTGAACATTAATGCCTATACTTTGAGACCCACTTCACAAACTGAAAAAATCAATGTTGCTGACTTGCACTCATTGGCTTCTGAACCTTCCGTATAAGCATTTCTTACAGCAGGGAATATAAACTGGCTTCTCCTCTAATGCATTTTATAGTTACTGCTTTATCTCTTTTAACTAGTCTAGGATAGACTTTCATAAAGAGTCAGCATACCTATGTTTAACTTGGGGTTCTCTGAGATTAAAATTGCAAAAATTGGACTGACACCTGTCTCCCAATAACACACCTTTATCAGAATTTCTGAAGCAACTATCTGCTATAATTGCATACATATATGAAAACATAGTTTAGTGTGTATTAATAAAAAGAATAATGTACTATGTCTGGAATCAGTTTTAAATACAGGTTTTATGTGAATAATCCAAAAATACATTGGAGACTAGTCATTGGATGTTTTATTCTCAGCAAGGCAGGATATTTCTATTTGCTACAGTGTCCAGAGTGGCTCTTTCAAACACCCAGGTCCATATTTACAGTTTACTAGGGTTCTTTTCTTGTGAGGTAAAGTGGCTGGGGTGTGGAGCTCCATCTATTAGTGCTGAGGTTAAGAATGCATGGAGCTATACTGCATTCCCTACAGAGTATGCAGCAAAATTAGATTCTGCAACAAAGCTAATGAATAAATAAGTGCTCATGGTTTGTATATCACATGTAAAAATTAAAAGGATTGAATAAAAATTCAAAATTGCAACATAGTGATAGGAGTATTAAACCAAGTATTCAAAGACAGTTACTTTTTCTTTCCCAGAAAGAGGATTTTGATTCAGAAGATGATAAATCTCCAGAAGAGAAATATGTGGAAGAGATGTCCAAAATTATACCACAGGGCACAGACAAAACACCAGAAGTTTTGGATTCAGCTTTACAAGGACTTTCAGCAAGGTTGGTGTCACATAAGTGATCTACATTCCATTTAGAAAAATACACAAAGATTGTGATATTGCAACAAACTAGAATTACATACTGTATTAATAATTTTTAGATAAACAGTGAACAATTAATTTTTGTATGATGGTGATGTCCTAAGCGTAAGGCTGTGTTAAGTTCAGTTTTCATTGAGCTCACCACTTATGAACAATTTCACACCCTTCCTCATATCAGTATGATTCTTGTAGTGCTCTATTCAGTAGCATGCAGCATCATGGAGGAGAGAGTGTACCTAGAATACAGCTTAAGTAAGCAAAGACATCGGTAATATTATTCAGTTTTCAAAGACATTCAGGCAAGGGCATAACAGAGTTAGGTATCACTAAACGGTTGAAGTACACCAGTAAATCTAACCTTGTTAGGACCTTTCTGAACATAGCCTAACACTTTATGTTCAAGCAAAGTAAGAAAAGCAACCCAAACCATAATAAATTATTAACAACTAAAATTAAAAGAAAATCAGCATACGTCTACCTGTAAATTAAAATTTACTTAAGAAGATTCTAAATCTGTTGTACTTATCTGCTAAAGTAGTAATTAATAATAATCACAAAAAAATAATTATTCCTAATGACTGTTACTTCTATACCAAATCATCAAATTCATAGATAGAAACCAGTGTCTCCCCCTCACCCCCATTTTATAAACATAACTTTTTAGAAGTTTGAAGTTTGTTGAGCACTTTTTGAGTTGCAACAAGTACTTGAGAAGATGGACAGACACATTATTTGTTAATTTTATTCACTTTAATAAAAGGAACACACAAAAATTCTTTAAATAAAAACCTTCAGAACTAGTGTATACAACTTTAAGTAGACCAAAAGAATTGTATTTACACAATTTTCCTTTCAAATATTATAATTATTTTTGTTTTGGTGAGATGAGACATGCATACAAAATTTTAGTTCGAAACCTGGAAAGGAAGAGACAACCACTTGGATGATGTAGGCATAAATGGGAGTGGGTTATTAAAAAGGGTCTTAAAGAAATATGGGAAAGAAAAGAGATGTTTGGGCTGACCTCTCAAAAGATGGAAGGATTCTGTTATGTAATGCCCATAAGAGGCCATAAGGCCTATACCGGAAAGGAAGAAGTAGAAAGAAATATGGTGTGATGGTATGGACTGAATTAATCAGGCTCAGGATAGGAACTGGTTGCAGGGTCGTGTGGACATGGTTAATGAAGATTCAGGTTCTATTAAAGGTATGAAATTTGTTAACTGGCTGATTGGTTATTAGCTTCTGAAATAGGTTTCTTCTGTATGTTGTAAGTTTGTCATTTCTTAATTATTTTGGTTTGAAATTAAGCTGCATTATTAATGGAATCAGCAATGAAATGAGCCAGAATAAAATAAAAGACATTGCATAATTCATACATTTTCTCTCATTATACTACAAATAATAAGAAATTAACAATGGCAGGAAGTGATAATGCTGTGTCAACTATGGCTGAAAATAACATACAGTGAACATGAAATGTATTGGTAGTATATTATGTCATTTGAAGCTATGACATTGTCCCTGGTGATGGAGGCAGAGGCAGTCTCCGGAAGTTTGGTTTTATAGCATTCACTGTGAAAGTTTCAAATCTTGCATAGAAAGAATTTAGTTGTCCTTTCGATTAAAGTTGGTAATTTTGCTTTAATACATACATGTTTTCAAAATAATTATTGCAATAGCTTTTCTCATTTTAACCAGTGTTCTTCAGAGGTTAGAATTAGACTAAATTTTTCTTTTATCATAGTAATATGAAGTATGTGTTGCTACAGATTGACTAATGATGGTTTTATGAAGTTTAGGATAGAACAAATCCTTAGAGTCAAAGATCAAACAAGTTGTTTTGAATGTGTTTAACTATATTAAAAGTAGAATTCTCAACAGAAAGTTAGCTGAATTGTGAATTAAATTTTTGCAGTTATGGGTGCTTTGGTAGCTTGGTTTGCATGAAATGGATATTATCTGCAATCAATTTTACAGGAAAGTTACATATTTCAGTTTCTTTATGTAAGATTAAATCTATCGCCTTAAGTCAGTGATGAGATTAGAGAAGTTTGTATAAAAATGTGGTTGCATACTGGTTTTATATTTGTGGTCTGTACTATATCTGGATAGCCTGCACTGAGACTGAGAGAAATTGCCACTTTCTCTTTCTGTGTATTGATACCTACAGAAGATACAGTAGCTTCATTATTCAGACAGTATTCAGGATTGCTACCCACATCATTTTGTATTTGAATGCTAAGTAGCGCTATCATCTGGTACGTATTTCATGCTTTACACCTTGACACACAGAAACAAAACCATCTGTAACCAAGACAGCCTCCATGTGAAACTTGATATTCTCCCAAAAAACCTGTAGTAGCTACAATAACCTGCAGATTCATTATGTTCTCAATCCAACTTTAAAGGCAAATCATCTGTAGAGATTAAAACTTTGCATACCATGTAGTATATTAGAATATAAAAATAAGCAAACAAACAAACTGTTAACACTATAAATGACACTAGTGTCAAACGCGTTTCAACCTCAAGAGGTCATCATCAGTGGCAAAAGGGGAATTAATTCATATAATCAAAAAATGGTTTTAAAAAAATCATGAAGGTGAGTTCTTTACAAAACCATAATAAGTAACACTACACTAGATGTTTAGTGATGCAACTTGGCATTGTTGCCATTTGCTGTAAAAGAAAAGAAGAAAATGTAAGTCCAACTATTTATGTGTCAGGTTTTATGTAAAACTAACTAGAAGTTGTGGGCGAGCATGAATTAAGTTACAAGCAGCTGTCCATGGGCTTCTAATTTGGAATCACTATATTACAGTGAAAGTAGTTGGCTGTTTATTAATATTCAGAATAGTAATTGGAACCTGACTTTTGGAGATGCCGTGTACTATAAGTGTCTATATCATGTGATTGTGTCTCATTGGGCTTCAACCTTGTTAAGATAATGGCTTTTACTGTTTAATGAAGCATAATATGCAGGAGGTTTAATAAAGGCTCTTATCTGATTTTATAATATATGATGCTGATAAAATTTGTTTTAATTGCAATGTAGATGGCGGAACTGGGTGATCCGTGGAATTTTTACATGGCTTATGATTGGCCTCTTCTGCCTGCTTATCTCTGTGGGCCCTCTCGCTCTCATGGTGACAGTGAGTATCAGAAATCGTTAATAACATTTTGTGCTTATGTGGTTCATAATTACCTTCAGTCCATCTCCTTGTTTCCCACCAGTGAACATTTTGTTGGTTCATTTCTCTTCACCTGTGTTGCATGGATTGAAAATTAAATAAGCACAAATTTGTGGTTATGTAGGCAGAGTGAGGTGTAATGTAAAAGAGAATAAGAAGCCTTAATTTTATTCATATTTTGGACATTGTCCATTGAGTGAAGTATATGCAGTATACATGATGTTTTGGAAGTTGGCTGTACTCCCATCTTCAAGTGATTTATTATCATTAAGTTGTCAATTTTTTGTAATTTTAAGATTAATGCTAGTTGATGGGGTCAAAGTTAGGACCTTTTGAATGTGAGGTCACTACACAACCACTAGACTGACATGTGCTCCACAGTGCATGTATTCTTGAGATGTGGCACTGGTGAAGACTTAATTTATGCACAGGATCACCGCACTTCATAATTAGCAAGTTAAGCTTGGGACCCACTTGAACAAGAATATGGTGTTTTACTCAAAGACTACCAGTGTACCTGCAGTTATAATGTGTTATTTTAAATTCACACAACAACTGAAATTTCTTATTAATTTTGGTATCCTTTCTTTTTATGGAAGAATAAATAATTCATGTTGAGGCATGTATTAACTCTTTCTATGCCACATGTAAGATTATCTATATAATTTAGAAGCACTGAACTTTCTTTTCTTGATTTATTCAGTGTTTGAGAATCCTAGTGTCACAGCTTCATCTCTCTCACTAGTTAAAAGATAACTGTTTTGGTGTTTAAACTATAGAAATTATAGTCATTATAGAAATATGCTAACAAAAGAAGGTTATACATAAAAAACAATATGGAAAGTGTTAAATAGTAATATGTTGTAGTACTGCAACCACAAAATGTGGAAGAAAGTGTGACATTTGTCACTTTAAATTAGTATGTATTTTTTCTGATAATACATTGCATGTATATGACATAAAAATTATTTCTGGAATCCTAAAGCTTGCAGTGCTGTAGAAAGGCTACATAAATAAGAATTTGATTGTTTCACATTTTTACTTTTGACTCTGAGTGTCCAGCCAAAATGTTTTAAAGAGATTATCAGCATTAGCTATTGAACTGGTCTAACATGCTTGTGATCAGATGCTTCATATTTGTTTTTATTTCAGACCCTGGTTGTCCAGGTGAAATGTTTTGAGGAAATTATCAATATTGGTTATGCTGTGTACCGAATCCATGGTCTGCCATGGTTCAGATCACTCTCCTGGTACTTTCTTATCACTTCAAATTACTTCTTCTATGGGGAGAGCCTTGTTGACTATTTTGGAGTTGTTATCAACCGAACAGTAAGTAAGAAAATGAAATGAAATATTCTGAAATGACGTAGAATTACTTGTGTTGTAAGGTAACAATTATGAATATTGGTATGTGATTCTACTTGTATACTTTTATTCCTTTAAGTTGTAATTAGCCTAAAATATTAATACTTGTACTTGTGTTATCCTATGATTGAGTATGAGGAAATAAATGGAAAATATAACTTTATATGAATGGCACCATTGGAAGTCATTTCTTTATGTCATATAGATTAACCATATCTTTATGGAGAAGAGTTGTTCTTGAGAAGCTAATAGTTGCTTAACTAGTCAATAAATTTCACACCTTTCATGCAAACTGAAGGTTTATCACTATATTCACAAAAGCCCATCACTGCATAACAAATCCAGTGTCCTGTATAGCATTTCATAATATGCTAGATTTTTAATGATTGGTTTATACCCTGTCCAAGCCCCAAGCCTTAAGGATCACTGTGTTGGCTATCCACAACTGCTTTTGTAATATATTTGCTGCTATCCTGTATATCTGCAGTCTATTCCCTCCATCTGTACCATACCATAATGACAAAGATTCCATATAAGCTGTAATAATGTGCATACATTAAATTTTATTTATTTTGTCATTTACAGTAGTAAATGTGGAAAAAAGTGTTTGTCACCTTAATCTGGTGACTGGACTGTATGTAGTGTTCTTCCATAAATGAACTGTCACACTTTATTGTTGTGTCAGTTGTCTAGGCTCTGTAAGGTGCACAGGTTAGGTAACAAGAATGGAAATATGCTGTAGGTAGTATAATATTTATTTTTCTAGTGTGTTCTTTGAAATGTTGCATATTTTATTAACCTCGATATTCATTTATTGCAGATACATCAGGCCTGAAACTGTAATCATTATGTGATTACCACACTGCTTGGAGCTATAAATTATTTTTCCTTGTATTTTAATGAATATAGTGCCCACACCATAATCTTTTCAAACTTTCAGTTAAAATGTAGATTGTATTCAGAATAATGACAATCCTCTTTCATTGATTGCATTGTTATACCAGATGTTATACACTATATGGTTTATATATAAACTTTGAGTAGGTCATTGCTGTTAGCTTTGAGGGTGGTAGCATCCAAAATGTTTGTTTTTTATGCAAATGACCTGGCATGGCTTAAGTCTGGGTGAAACTTAATGAATCGTTGTCATAAGAGTTTTATACCCTGTATATCTGTAGTTCTCTTATTGTGTGAAACTATAAATCTTATAAGTTATGTTTTGTGTCTGGTTTGTTGGTAGGATTATTTACGAGTCCTCATCACGTACCACCGGTTCATCTCATTCTGCCTGTACATTGTGGGGTTCATGTGGTTCGTATTGTCACTAGTCAAGAAGTATTATATGAAGCAGTTTTCTCTCTTTGCTTGGACACATGTGGCACTACTCATTGTTGTAACGCAGAGTTATCTTATCATCCAGAATATCTTTGAGGGACTCATCTGGTAAGCAGTCAACTGAACCTAACAAACTCTAGTAGTGAAGTGTGAAGATTTAATACCACTAATACCAAAACCCTCTATTTGATAAGATTAAAGCCAGTATCTCCCATCTTCACAGTCTACTTCTCTGAGATCCATCCTTCTTAATACTTCTGTTCCTTTTGTTATCTGCCCAACTGGCCTTTTTCAAGTAAAATACTCTTTATACACTATATTTCAGGATTTTTTTGAGGTTAAGACACAACTGTTTTTATATTTTTAGCCATTGAAATTATGTGGAGCCATGGAAATATATTAACAGCAGAAGGTTCTTTAAAATTAAAATCGGCATAGAAAGGGTTAATTATGAGCTAGATTCAGGAATTCATGCTTGCATTTGTTTTAGGTTTATTGTTCCAGTCTCGATGATAGTTTGTAATGATGTGATGGCATATGTATTTGGCTTCTTCTTTGGAAGAACACCTCTTATACAGCTCTCACCAAAGAAGACTTGGGAGGGATTTATTGGTGGTGGTGTTGCTACTGTAATCTTTGGGTTAGTGGTAAGTGAAAATTTGAAGATATTTATTAGAAACAACAAGACACTATGTTGTATTACAATAAAAAATGCTGTAATTGTATTAATAATACATGAAGGAGGATTTTAGTGAAATGGGATAAATCAGATACTTGTTTGTGCTGAGTATGCTAATGTCTGGAAGAATATAAATTTCATAAAAATAATACAGAAATTTGCCTTCAGACCAGCAAGGAAATTGGCCTAGAAACAAATATAGATAAAACTAAATATATAGGCATGAAACCAGAATCAGCAATAAAGTTATTATTGTGTAACTATAAGGCATAAATTATTTTAACATTTTTAAAAGTTTATTTTATCATTTGGCTCAATCAGTTTAGTGACTGGCTACGGACTGGACGACTTGGGTTTGATCACTGACGGGGGCAGATGATTTTTCCTCTAGCCTTTTAGTCGAGATTGGCTCTGGGGCCCATCCACCCTCCTCTCCAATAGGTACTGGGGTCCTTTCCCGGGGGTAAGGTGCGGCTGGGGCATGACACTAACTGCTCACCTCCACTTAGTGCTGAGATTAAGAATGAGTAGGAGCTATATCACCTCTCCCCTCAAATGCCTACATGGCATTTAATGGGACAGCTTTACTTTTTACAACACAGATAGAGACAAATGAGGTCTTTGATAAAGTAAGAGAAGAATAAATTCTGAAAATGCTTCTTACTGTATATTTAAAAAATATATTATAATCCTGTCTGCTTTCCAAAGCAGCAAGGATGAAACATCAACAAGCTTGTTAACTCTCCAACAGATGTCACTAGGAGATAAGAAGATGTGTATTTCTGAGTGCTGAGACTGGCAGTGGCAAGTAACATAGTAGTGTTTGAACTCTTAGGCAAGTCTGTTGGAATGACTGTATTCTTAATTCTATGAAGCATCTGTTGGTTCCAGATGTCTTACATCATGTGCCAGTACCGATACTTTGTGTGCCCAATTGAATACAGTGAAACTCTGGGGCGCATGACAATGGAATGCGAGCCTTCACCATTGTTCCGGCCACAGGAGTACACATTACCAGAGTCCCTGTCTGGTGTTCTGCAGCTAGTATGTATATGTATATTATACATTTGTTCCCCATACATAAAATGAAACCAAAGTCCTCAAAACTATGCACCAAAAAGAAAGTAAATTATTTACCTTATTTTCTGAGTAATAATTTTGATGGATTCTTTGCACAAAACATGTAAAATGTATGCATAATGGAATGGCATGCCTGTCATTTTACATATTCACTTTTTTCATATCTGAAATCAGTGTTAATAAAATTTGGTAGTGCAGGGTGTACACCAAAGTTGTAAGGTGTATTTCATTCTGAAAAATGTGAAATTTGAATTGAAGTACAACTTTTACTTTTGTTTAAGAAGATAAACTTAGTTTTTTGGCATTTTTGTGTTTTATGTGAATACAAGTTGGCCCCATAAGACTAGATTTCTTACCTTAGGTATAGAATTACATGGCATTCTTGAAGTGTAATCCCACCTACATTGTGATCATATTTTGACTGAAATGTCATATCATTGTTATTTATAAGGAGAAACATGCTTATGACTTAATTTTTCATTTATATGTGTGTATGTCTGTGTCTCCACCAATACCTGGAATATATTGATAGATTTAATGAAATTTAGTATAAACTTCACTCCACCTTTGCACTCTACTTTTCTGTCATTTATACCATCATGGCATTCATATGAAGTTGGTAGGAATAAGACTGCTGGTACCTGATATGTGATTTTGAAATTGTGTGATATTAAATCTTTGAAAAATGTTCAACTTTGTTCAGTTAATTTTTCTTGTATGATGTAAAATATCAACATTACTGCAATGTGAGATTAATATTTAATTCTTCATTTGTGCATTTTGTATATAACTAAATCATAAATGTACCTACAGATTTTGTATGACCCATTTTGTTTTTGTAAAAATTACAGGCATGGAGATGGTATGAATCTTTGAGGTTATATCTAGTAAATTTAACATTGTTAGAATTTATACTGGTGAAGGTTGTGGACATAGATCAGTCTATAAATTGTTTCCTATAAATTTATAGCTAGTGCTACCCTCACCATATACTTTGAAGCATTTGAAGGAAAGTAGGTATCAAATTCTTCCCTGAATATCTTGAATTCATTAGTTTATCAAACATTGTAATACCAAGAAACAAAACCAGGACATTACAATATCTCATAGTACTCATCTAATTTTAAAGGTTTCTTGGTTAAGCATGCTGTTTATGATGTGATTACATGAACAGCTGGTATAAAACGTTAATAAAATCAACACACAATCAAAAAGTCACTGGAGCTGTATGAATGTTAGTGACCTATATTTATTTCATAAAATGTGGAAATCTTACACTAAGTGTTTAACTTTTTATAAGATTCATTCTTATTGTTAATGTTGTCACCTTGTTACAGTTGGGACTAAAGAATACATTGAAGCTGTATCCATTCCTACTGCACTCGCTGTCAATGTCAGTCTTTAGTTCTGTAATTGGTCCCTTTGGTGGGTTCTTTGCTAGTGGTTTCAAGCGAGCATTCAAAATCAAGGTAAATTTCAACTGCAAGGTCAGTTAGTTCAGTCTGTTTAACTGTGTGGTTCTTATCCTTTATTGTCTTGTAACTTCCTCCAATTTTCATACAATTTTATATTTTATGTTGAAGGGTTATTATTAGTAAAATATTAGCCTTATTCCAATTTCACGTTGAAAACATTATATTGAAGTTACAAAATATATCAGAGAGAGAAGAAGAAAAAATATTTCACAAAATAAAAACTTAACTTGTAAAAAGTATGACATATTCACATTAACATTAATTAAATAATTGTAAGCTGTGGCAATATACAGAAAAAATATTACTCATTAATGAGGATTCCAATGTAATGATTATTGTTTAAATTATAATTATTCATGTGACTGTTGCCACTGCTCTTTTATTAATAGTTGTGGTCTATAATTTCTTATTGTCACTGAATTCCTGATATGCCTAAAGGGTATGCTGTCTGCAGGTTAAGTAGATTGGTAACTCTGTGAACACTATAGCTGTTGTTAACCTCACCACATTGCTGTGCCCAGTATATCCATTGCTCTATTGCAGGATTTTGGAGATGTGATTCCTGGTCATGGTGGTATAATGGATCGATTTGATTGTCAATATCTGATGGCAACATTTGTCAATGTTTATATTTCAAGTTTCATTCATACTGCATCACCACAGAAACTGCTACAGCAGGTACATAAATGCGTACTTGCTCTTAACATGGATAGCTGTAGGGTTACAGAATGAATAAAGTTTATAGCATTTTTATAATTTGTTACGGTACTGTTTTATTTTAGGTTTATAATCTGAAACCTGAACAACAGTTGCAACTGTTCTACACTTTGAAAGAAACCCTGGAGAATCGTGGTATTCTAAACCTTCAGTAACACCATACAGTGGTTCAACAAGGTAATTGTACTGAAGATGCTTAGAAGGAAATGATATGTATGAATAAAAATGCATGGGTAGCATTTCATTACAGGTGTTTCATGACTGCTGTCACTTACCTAGTGGTAAGCAAGCTGGCATAGTTGAAAGAGAAAGGGCATTGCTGTCATGATGTTTTATTTAATACTGAGGTGAGTGGTGTTTTACCATGTTGTTTTAATTCAGGTACTATTCACTGTTTAACATATCCATCTTCATGTGGCAAACTGGTACATTTTGAGTCAGTAGAACGTATATTTGTTCATTAAATAACCTTGCACTGTTTGTAATTTGTATATTCTTTAAATATTTTGTTTCTTAGGTTAAGAGCTTTCTAATTGTAAGCATGGGTTGTTGTGAAAAGTGTCTCAATAGTGACTTCATGTTCTGATGAAAGCTGCTTTGTGATTTTTTGGTCTCTATATGGTGTATTTCTTTTGAATCTTTACTTGCATTAGTGGGTAAGGAGAAACCATGAGAGGATCTGTTGCATCACCACTTCTCACCATTTGTAATGTTCCTTGTTGGTTTATGTTCTGATATTTGGTGTCCACGACATTTAAGAAAGGGGGAATCTCGTAACCTTCACAATAAAACTAAGACACTGCTTAACTGCTTTCTAACTTCAAACAACAGTGTCTTACACAGCCTTCATATCAGCTTTGAAAATACTGGATTTATGATCTGAAGTTTGATTCAGAATATGTGAATTGATATGAAAGTTATGTAATTGGAGCTGTGTATTGTACTTGTATTTACTTCATTCATTCCCTCTGAAATGCAGATATTTCAGATTTTGTATGAGCTGTGCTCTGGAAGGAGATAATTCATAAAACATGCTACATTCGGTAAAGCATTTAAGTCCTATCTGTGGTAGAGTTATTGTATGTAAGTTAGACTGTACAAAATGTGGAATATAGTAATGCACTTTGCAGATATACCTATCTTGAACTGTGTTCTTTATGATGTGAAATGTACTGAGAACCTGTTTTATAACACAGCCATAAGAGTCCTGAACATGTTTCTTTCAGACAAGTTTTATTTAACACAGCTGCTTCTAGATAAAAATATTACATGTAACAAACCCTGTGTATTTATATTCCAAATTACTGGCGAGAAATTTATACTACATATGTACACTACAATGTAGAGCACACATTTATATTTTTATTTTCTTTTTTACATTTTTTCAGTACCTTATTAGTCTGCACATATTTTGTCAACAGTCAAACTGAATTATTTCCCATTTATAAAAAACGTTCTCCTCAAGAAGTTTTGGGAAACAGAATACAGAACAAAATTATGTGAACAGAAGAAAATGCATATTGAAGTAGGCTGTTTGTAATTAATTCTTCCCTCCTATTTATTAGATGTAATTTTATGTTGATTTTTACTCTATAACCTGAAAACAAAGAAAGTTTCTAATAGAGGTAGGTTTTCATTTAATCCACATTCTGTCTAAGATTCTATTATAAATTTCACATTTTGCACAAAGTTAGGAATTTGGTTTGTGTGGTTAGTCTTTATACTATGTTCTGCATTTGCATACACAAGAAATTCCTAGATCATAGGCTTCTGTGGTCATTGTCATTAAAATTTCATGCATTTGTTCCACATATTATAATTAGGATGTACTACTTTCTGTTGACTGTTTGTTTAAATATTTTGAGACAAAATCTGCCCTTTTTCTAAAAGTGGTGAATTGTGAACAGAATTCTGCTTAAAATGATACTTTGCTAGGTATTATTATTACCATTATAATCAACATCGAGATGCAAGGAGATAGGGCATGATGAAGACAAAGAAAAATGTGAAAGTAAGGTACAGCTTCTGGTGCTTAACTAAGTACCATGCCATGCCAATGTATGGGGGGCATAGGCATACTCCATGTAGTATTAATTTTGACATTAGAAGGACATGACTTGTCAGTTTGGTGCCATGCCCACTTTACCCATGAAGAATGAACCCTGGTATCCTTTGGATAGGAATCTGGTTAGGGTGCAGAACCAGTATGAGCATTGTAGTGAAGAGAAAAATCTTACCTTGCCAGTAATTGAACTCTGGTTGTCCAGCCTGTAGCCTGACCATTATACTGACATTTTTCTCTGTCTTTATTTACATTTCCCCCTCCCCTTCTGTTTACTTGCTTTATCTGTTCCAGTTGCTCTTAATTACATACCAGACAACACAACATAGATTGATGAAGATAAACATCCATGCCTGTAATGGGATTTGAACTCAAAATTCCAGCAACCAAGCAGTCAAGACCCATACCTTAGACCATGCAGCCACTGTAATTGGACAGGTGCTTTTTGAAACATTTATAAGTTCAATCCCAGGAGCTTTAAAATTGGAGTTTCTTTTCCCCTCCCCTCTTACCTCTTACAAGGAAGTATAGGTATTGGGAAATTATATTTTTCTTTTGAAGAGTCTGGCCTAGGTGGTCATATCATGACTGGACTTTGGACCAGAGTAATTTGATTAGTTTTTGTTTCAGAATTAAAATCAATGTGGGTTATGCAGAGAATTTAGAAAGAAAGAAGGCAGGACAATGAAATTTTCTGGAGGCTGCAGTAATGGATTTCTAGGATGGTTTTAACTAGAGATCTACATACAAATTCTGGGTGTTATATGGTGCATGTTCTGTACTTCTGACTGTCCATTGAAATTCTGATGACCATTCCACTCATTTAGTTTAATGCACAAGGATGGAATAAGTAATTTGAAGAGCAGTGCTGTTGGTTATAGTGTATTTTCAGTTTCAACTTCGTGCATTTGTAGTGTGTGATATGTAAAACAATTTAATTAGCTTATGTTATGTGTTCTTCATGTTGTGAATGGCTGTGTGTAAATTATAAAACACGAATTGCACAGTTGCATTCTATCATAGTTTTAAAGCAGTTCTGTTAAAATAACGTTTGCAGTACTTTGATTGTTAATGCTACTGAATTATTTCCTGTTGTGTTCATAACGTTTATTCATGTTAGAAAATGTATAATATTGTTGCTGAGAAAAGATGATGTGGTTGTAATGGATAGAGATGGATATGTATCTTCTGGTAAGTGTTACATGCAGAAACATGTCTTAACAGTAAATTAGTTTTTAACACTAGGAAATACCTTCCTAGTCTGTCATTTTTGTGATATAAAAGTGGTTCATTATTATTAGAAAAGGGTAATGCATATATTAATGTTATGGTTCTGTAATAATGAAACATTATGTTTCCATGTGTTGTCATACAGAATTTATATAATTTGAAAGTTATACCATGTATAAATAGTGTATATTGCATTGTAACATGCAGTTTGAAGGGATAGAAAACAAGAATAGTGTGCTAGTCTTAAATGCTAAATGTGAAACATAATATTGACTGTAGCATGTAAGGAAAATGTATTTTGTGTGAGTAGACAGTCTCACAGTGTTGCTAATGCTGAGAAGCATACAGGAGTATGCTATATTGTAGTGATTATGGTGAGTTGTAAGATCACAGTGTGCACAGGATTGCCAATTTACATGGATTTTTAATAATCTGTGTGAGATTCCCAACAAATATTTTGTAATCTGTTTCATCATCAGATAAAGTAATATCTTGGATTTTTGGCTAGATTTTAAATGTAACCCTTTTCATGTTGGTTTTTGTTTGAAGAAACCATGTAAAAACTCAGTTTTATTATCCATCAGAAACAACATGTATTTTGTGGCTTGTGTACATGTTGTTTCTCTCAATTTATAAAATTGAGTTCTTGGTGATTGATAGAATGGAATTGGTGTTATAATATTAAAAAGCTTCCATATGATTAAATATTTCCATAGTAATGTTAAATTCCTATTGTTGAAAAGTCAAGAATTGTTTTAAATTTTGAGAGATAGCAGGCTGATACATCATATAAACCCAGACTGTGCTTAGCATGAAAAGGATTTAACACATCTGTGCTTATATTATTCTAATAGTGCATTCCTTTATCAGAATTAGAAACCAAGTATGTTCTGTTTTATTGTTCCATGTATATTCAGCCTAATGGCAGTGTGTGTGTGTGTGTGTGGAGAATCTAGAGAATTGGCACCTCTCTGTAAGTAATAGAGGGTTTCTTTCATTATGATGCATTTAATCTTCCATACAGTGTAGAAAGTTACAATTTAACTTTACAACACACACACACACACACAAAAGAAAGGAATTTTCGCTTTCTAATTTTACATAGTATTTTATAAAAGTATACCATAATTATTTTCAAATAAATAATTATGCAGTTAACTTTTTAATGTGAATATTTCATGATGGTAAAATGTTTTGTAATGTCTGATAAAAATTGTTGTTTGATGCTGAATGTAATCTGAACACATTTTGAAAATTTAATGAACCCACTGTAATGAAAACTGAAAGGGGGCATGGTGTCTTAGTTCACAGTGGGCTGGTACTAATTGGTCACCTCCCTAAATTTAATCTTGGTCTTGTATGAGTTTTCATGTACAGACCCTCTGTAATCTGATCATATTGTAACATCAAAATGCTACATCATTTTCTCTGTATTCCACAATGGAATATTACAACCCACATATGCTCTACACAGAAGTCTTTGGGATAAATTCTGATTACTACAGTTTTGTACTACTCAGTTTCTGATTCTCATATTGCAGAACACAGACTAACTTTCTGAATCTGTGTTACCAGAATGATGTGTCACATTATAACACTTTGTTGTCTGATCTGTGAGATAGAAATATGCGATAGATGTTTGGGTAGTTTCCCCATATATAAAGAAACTCTTGAAAATAGACATTGCTAACAAAGAACACAAAACAAAATGTAATTGAGTGGTTTATAGCAGGAAATATGTCATCCATTATCAAAGGTAAAAGTATGAAGTATCTGTCTGAAGTCACCATCTGCTTATCCCTTTAGTATCACATACCAACATTTCCATAAATGTATAGGATGTTTTGTTGTTATTCTTTTCCTTACATTAGTTTTATGGCAACTGAAAACCAGTATGTGAAATGTGAAAGAAGTCAGATTTTTACTGTCTTTGTGACCACTAGGCAAGTACTTCAATATTTCTGGCAGAACCGAAAGCAGTCATGACTGTTGGGTTTGACTGTCATGTTTATAAAACTATTGGTGATAATTTTTATTGGGCTGTACTGGATCAACAGAAAGTCACCATTACTAATGGAAAAATACATGGAATTGTATCAATAAGATTGTACTGTGCATGAGTCAGATTACGAAGAGTGTTGTACAGAAATTTAATTAATATAGTTATGTGTTGTTAAAAGTTAATCATCCTCAGTGATGGCTGGCAGTTTAAGTAGTTTCCATAATAACAATGTCCTATTGAACAGTTTTTCTTTCTTTCTTTTTTCTTTTTCTTTCTTTCCCCTCCACATCACATTGAGTTTTGGCACTCATAAATTAATTTCTTAACAAGAGGTTAGAGGACACATGCTATAACACATAAAGAGAAATATAATGTAATGGTTTCTGATGTATTTTCATACTGTTTGCTTACATGTAGTGTACCACATATTCCATATATTGGCAACACCATGCCTTTGGGACACAAGTCAGTATAAAAAACTGTAAAATTAATTGCATGTTTTTACTCTGGTCTGATGTTAATTTCATTCTAGAGTAAGGCTTCCAGATGTATTCAATTATGGTTGTATAAAATCTGTATAAAAAAGTAATATGTGAATACAGGATTACATGTTTAAAAAAGTATCTGACAAGATATAGTATTTTTAATGTGAATGGGATCTTAATAAAGTCTTATGCATATATAACTAAGGAATTGTGTTAAATAAAAAGAAAGCAGTGCTATATGTTTTAAATGTGTCTTTGACATGTACTAGTTTTGTGCTGAAACTAACAACCTGGTCACATAAAACAGAGAAATATTTTTCAGGTTTTCAAATGTCAGATTGTTTTATCTTTTACCTTACCAATTTCTTTAATACAAAGTAGTATTTAACACATACCAGGTGTTTAGAATATAGAAATTGTGTTATGAAGAAGCATTGGTATTAAGAACAATAGATTCTAGGATGGGAAGCCACTGCTAGAATTTAATCATGATTGCATGTGACAATTTGTTGTGCTGAGAGATATATACCTATAGTGTTGTTGAGAGATCTTGTGCCTCATCTTTACTATAATGCATAGTAATGCTAAAATCTTTTGTGTTCTTGTGAGTTGGTAACACTTTGTACAGTCTTACCATTCTCTACCTTTTTCGTGAAACTATCAGACACCATAGAAAACCTAATCTTTAGTTGGTCTGTGCAAAATCTAATGTTTGGGTCCTTGGTGTTTCATGTAGAACACCACCAAAACTCAACAGACACTTAAAATTCTTTAGTTTCACAAAAGAATATACTAATCCATGAAAGTTACAGGAGAAAGCAAATAATACACATGTCAGATGACACTGTTAAACTCTCAGATTGTGACAGTCTTTTGTACTGTGTAACGAATGACTATCTGCTGTCTTTGAGTAGGCAACACAAAAAAATCCTACCTAAAAGTTTACATGTTGTCATAGTAGATCATTATTCATCAGATTTACACAATTTGTTAAAAGGTGAAGACAATTCATAATTATTCTATAGTCAGAGGGGAATACTGCTTTTAGCTTTACTATGTGTGTTCACGTGTGTGTTACTGTATTCTGTAGCACACTAATAGTCTAAAGTCCTCTGATCTAGGCTAAGTGGTATTCAAACACATTTTAAATAGCATTTATTGAAATTTTTGATGCATCATATGGTTGTGTTTGTTTGTATACAGTAAGATATGATTGGATGGTTTATATTTGTGTTCTTATAATTTCTGCCATTCACTTTGTGGGTCATAATCTGAAACGTGGGAACTGAATTTGAGGTTGTAAGTTCTAAATTAATAAATCGGGGAGTATGTTGATGTTGATCTTACGGGTTGCAATGCTATGTGGACTTGTAGGTAGATACCCACGTGTGTGTTACTGTATTTGTTTATTGACTAATAGTCTAAAGTCCTCTGATCTAGGCTAAGTGGTATTCAAACACATTTTAAATAGCATTTATTGAAATTTTTGATGCATCATATGGTTGTGTTTGTTTGTATACAGTAAGATATGATTGGATGGTTTATATTTGTGTTCTTATAATTTCTGCCATTCACTTTGTGGGTCATAATCTGAAACGTGGGAACTGAATTTGAGGTTGTAAGTTCTAAATTAATAAATCGGGGAGTATGTTGATGTTGATCTTACGGGTTGCAATGCTATGTGGACTTGTAGGTAGATACCAACATTTCAAAGGAACATGCTTTCCCCATCTTCTGATCTGAAGATGGAGGCAAACCATTAGTATCTCTTGACATGTTCATGTGGCATTCAACCCATAATACCAACACCAAAATCATCATTGCCATGAGAACTTCAAAACTCATGTGGGAGAATACTTACAAGAATAAAGGCTTAAAGACTTCAGTGTGTCTGTAAGTCTTTATTCTGCTGGTGCTCCTTTCTTTTCTGCTATTTAAAAGCTAAGAGTCATTTAACAGCTGTCAGTATAATTATAAACTACTTTGATTAAAAATTTGTTACAATTAGCTTGTAAAGAGCAATTGTTTTTACTTGTAATTTTCTATTATGGTAGTGTCATGTTCATAGATCTGTTTGACAAAGAGAGAACATTCTTCTCAAAATATTGAGGTCTTTTTATAGAGAAAGTTGTGATGGTAAAATATAATCTAATTGTTTGTACTGTTATACAATGAAAATTGAATGACTGACCCAAGTTTATTTTCTGCATTAGAAATGTACTAAAATGTGAAGAGACGTCATTATTCCATTATTATCCTTCTTCTGTTCATGATCAAGCCATTCTGTAATAATTCATAGATATGTTAACATAGTAAGCTATCTCACAGTCTGTAATGTTTTACAGTAACTGTGGATTGAGATACCATTAGCTCTTTATTGTAGAATATAATGGCCAGTGAGAAATGTAATTTGAACAGTTTTATGTGTTTATATTCTGTCTTCTTTTGCTTACAAATCATTTATTTTATCCTGAAGTCTTAAAAGAGGAAAGAATTGTTTAGGGACCAACTTTTGTTTTCAGTTTCACTTCTGTGTTCACTTTGCTATTAATATATACAGTTAACATTTGAATTGACTCTGTTATGAAGCTGAAGCATGGTAGAAAATATGTTACTCTTGCCAGTTTAGAATAGAACAAAGAAATTTTGAAATTGCTGGTTTACATTACATATAATCTTGTATTAGTAACTGAGTTTGAGTTACAGTTACTAACTAGCATTAATTTTTAATAATGCCTTCAATCTTACATGCACATTCTGTTCCCAATGTTTTGAATATATAGTACACACAAACTATTTGATCCATTTCTTAGATGCATGTCATCTTATATATGTATTTTATTCACAGTAATGTATATTTTATGTTAGTGTTATGAAGACTGTGTGATCTTTGTTGGGTACTTGAATGTTTCAATGTATGTGATGCTGTCATATATTTATTATTTTATTTTAATTCCTGATGTTATTATATTATGTCCTTTATGTATATATTGTAAATTTTCACATATTATTAATTATGATAAAATATGTGCTCATATAATCAATCTGTTCTGTTTCTGAATATAACTAAAGTAGAAAGTGCCCTGAGACACATGTATGTTATGAATCATCATATGCCATATAGTGTATTGTGCAGGGCTTTCTTTGTCCTGGAATGTGGAAACCTGAAATTTGAGGTTATTGTGGCATAAAAATGTTGACATTGGTATTGGTTGTTAAGGTTGAAAAGTTTTGGAGGAGTTCCTCCAGAATTGTTGGCATCTTCCTGCAAGACATCCCAGAGGGCTAACGTCAATTGTGGAAAGTTTAAATGAATTGCTTGAAGGTGACTTGCTGTCACATTTTGTGTTCAGATGAACACAGACTGTTATTACATTTAACTTGTATTTTAATTTTTTAATGTCATCTTGGGCACAAAGTAGATGTATGGGAGGCTGTACTGCATGCATGCTCCTGTAAAGTCCTTTGTGGCTCTCTGTAGGATGAAGTTATACAATATAAGGATTTCAAAATTATTGGTCCTGCGTTGCTGTGAGGGGGAACAGGAGTAAAACATTGTTTTGGTCGGAATAATAGGTAACAGTTTTACCGATAGGGCTATCGTTTAGTAATTTACGTAATCTTAATTCATTGATTTGTTCAACTACATATGGCAATGTGTGAAAATATGCCTACAAAATCAGATATAGGTTGTAATATCAGTTAAGTGAGTATCTATGCCATTTTACTTCGAGAAAAATTAATAAAAAGTATAGTGTCATCATAAATGCTGTAGTTTACTTCAAAATTTTCACCAACCACAGAACACACAAGACCATGGATTACAAGATGTAACTCCAGGGACCACACCATCTACCATGACCAAAGGCTTCTTTCGTAGTAATCCGTGGTCTTCTCAGATTGGTCAAGTTATGTGGTTACCTGAAGTCTCGGTTTATTAGGTCAATGTATGGTTGTAAATTGACTTAGTGGTTGCAAAGTTCGAGAAAAAGACTAGGAATTGCTCTTCAAGATGATAATTCTGATTGGATATTAACATTTAGCGGAGACGAATTATAACAGTGTAACATATTTTATGAAGTTTGGGGTATTGAATAAATTAAAATAATACCTCCGTTACGGAGATGTGATAAGTATGTGTTGTTATTGGCACTGGAGCACTGCAAGAAAACAGCTGATTGGACAGATTTTGCTGTTTGTAGAACCACGCCCACTTAAAAAATTTGTATTAAAAGCATTACATTTGTAGCTCTGTTCCTGGCTTCGATTTAAAAAAGTGAACTTTTGTATTACTCTTTGGTAATTCTGATAAAATGTCCCTCGCTGTGTACCTGAGTGTGCTTGGCTACACTATGAACGAAAACGTCAAAAGTAATTGTACTCGGACATATATGAAGAAGGAATATATACTTCAGATTCCGCATTTTTGTTATTTTGTGTAAGAAGCCTTTTTTGTGCTTAGAGTTTCGTATGGTGCATTTCGTTCATTTTAAATGAATGTAATAATGGCCATGTAAATATGTTTGACATTAAGTCTCTTTATGTTTCTAGCCAGCTGTGTTCTTACATAATATGCTAATTTTGAAATGCCGTTACAACAAATTAGCGTTTCACCTCTTGACTGGGTCAAAGAAAACTCAAATGCAAACCCCCAGAACCAGGAATGGAAATTGCAGGTATGTAATAATGGCATATTTAAAATTAGTTACCTATAATGTAGTGAAGAGTAGGATCAGTGTGCAGCTATGTATATCAGTACTGACAGTTATGTCCTGACATGTGTATTAGCTTTGCCTCCTGCCACAGATGATGGTTGTAACTTGACTATATTTAATATTACTGAAAGTAAGGTGAATTTGTGATGTATCCTGACCATCACTGAGGCCATTATGCAGTTTTCTCACAAAATAAATTTGTTTCATAATGTCAGATGGTGGGTTTTGATAAATATGTTGAACATTTGGGTTCCAAATTGCAGGGTATTTGTGGATCAACTGAATAATAAACTACTAGGATGCTTTGTATCATGGTATTAGTTACATAATGTATGGCATACTAAACTCTTATTAATAATAAGACATTCACATGGCTGACTGAATAAACTCCTGTTTATTTATTTATAGTATGTGTTACACATAAGGGCTCTCTGATTCAGTTCTCATCAGAAGTATTATGTCTTGATTGAGATTTTTCTTAGTAATTAATGACTTGGTGGGGTACAGTTGAGTCCATAGGCACTGTGGCTTTATGTAGATATAGTATATCATCACTTCAAAGGATGAGTGCAGCTTTGCTGGAATGATGAATGACAAGGAAAACTGAAGTCTTGGACAAAAACTTGCCCTGGCGCTACCTTGTTCATCACAAATGCCATGTGGGCTGGCCTGGAATTGATCTGTCAGTCTTCCATAGTGAGAAGCCAGTGACTGCTTGATCATTGACAGAGTCCAGAGTCTTTTTTCTTTCTTTCTTTTCTCCTAATGACGACTTCTTTTTGATTTCCAGGAGCCAGTGTTCACAACTTCAAGTCAGCATCCACCAGAACGTTGTGCCTCCCAAGCTTCAACTCTTTCTAATAACCATGATATCTGCAGGTAATCATCAAATGTTTGTTGTTTAATGTTTTGTAATGCTTATTGCCTTGTTGTGTATTCCCACACCCCTTCATGAAACATGCCGTTCCAAGCCAAGTTTGAATTTATGTTCCAGAGGAAACATTGGCTGACTGCTTGGTGCAAGTTTTTAATAGTTTGGAAAGTAGGGTATGTGTAGTGAGGTGGGTGGGTGCAACAGCACTAACCAACTGTCTAAGCTTGAGGTCAGTTATTGGAAATATCCAATATCACTGTTCCTCCATTACACTGCTGAAAATTACTATTACTCCAGATTTAGAATTTGATTTTGTTGTTTATGTTACAATTCATAGGTGGTTTTTATGTTATGATAAAAATAGAGACTATTATATATCCAAAATTTAAAATAAATATATGTAACTGAAATGTATTCTTAAGTGTATTAAAATGGTTACAAAGACTTGTCTCTTTGGTTAAATGCCTGGGATGCAAGGGTGGTCTGAAGATTTCAGCTTGGTTTGAACATGGTAAGTGGAATTTAGCATAGTTACAGAAGGGCTATTATTAAGTAGCTTTTAAAAATAGAATATAATAAGGATTTGTGAATTTGTCTTCCTTCCCAGGTTTCTGATTTTATAATGATAAACTGATTTTCAGAATCTGCCACTGTGAAGGGGACAGTGAGGTGCCCCTTATTGCACCGTGTTATTGTTCAGGTTCCCTGCGCTATGTTCATCAGGCTTGCCTCCAGCAGTGGATCAAGTCCTCAGACATCCGGAGTTGTGAGCTTTGTAAATTCCAGTTCATTATGCGGAGCAAGATCAAACCATTTAGTGAGGTAAATTTATGTTTATTTCTCTTAGCAAAAAAATCAAGGATGGGATGGGTAAAATATGTGGCATGCATGGAGGAAACTGCTGTCTGTTTGTATCCACTTTAGGGGTCTACCAAGTGAGAAGTGGCACAAGAGAAAGTTGTCTCATATACAGTCTAAATATCAGACTGTGGAATTGATAACATTTATGTGACTGTATATGTACAATATTGTTTACATTAAAATATAATATATGCACATCATTGCTGGTGGTATAAGGTACTATTACTGAAGAAGCTAAATAATGAGGTGCTATACATATTTTATGCAGCTTTATCTCTAGTAGCATGAATTTATTATCACAGCTGTATCGGGTAGGTAGACAGTCTGCACAGTCTTGAAGCTTCCCTTTTCTCCCTTTAGTAAACAGTACTTGAGCCAGCTATATATCACTGGTGTTATATCAACAAGTATCCTTATTTATTTGAAGGTTACCAAACCTAAGTTTGAGCCTTCTGCAGTCTGGTGATAACTCCACCTAAGAATTACCATATTCACTTTTATCTAACATTTAAAACTATTTCATATCTTTCATGACTTGGGGCTTTATACCTTGTTCTCATTCATTATTTGTTCAAAATTTTATTCATTTATCAGGAGGAAGTAAAAAAAAAGGATGAAAATCACCAGCATAGCTAGTCTTGATATATGCATTCATGGGTTCGTTTTCTTTTTAAATCTAATATTTGAAAAGGCATGAAAATTCTGTAGCCCATATTCATATTTCATGAGTATTGTAAATGGTATGGTTGAAAGAATGAATAGGGCAACAGACATGGACTGGTGTACTCAGGCACACTGTGCCCCTAACATTTTCATATTACTCAAATGTTTGAAGTGTGTTTAAAATTCTTACAAACAGAAAAACATAAATGTTGCAGTTAAGTGGGTTGATTCTTGGCTAAAGGGCCAGCTGTTCTGATAGGTTATTCATATTTATTTTCGATCTCTTTACCACTGCACAACTGCTTCTTTCCACATCCATCCCTGTTCAACATTCCTTGTGATCTGGCCATTTGACATGATATAATATGTGTAGTTGAAGAAGGATTGTTAAATTAACTAAGTTATGAATGGAACATTTTTCATATTATTCCTCTTGACAAAAATGATGACTTGGTTGCAGTGGGAAACACTGGAGATGTCAAGTATGGAGCGTCGGAAGCTTCTTTGTTCAGTCACATTCCATGCTGTGGCTCTGATGTGTGTTGTGTGGTCATTATATGTTTTGATTGATCGTACAGCTGAAGAGATTCACAAAGGTCTTCTTGAATGGCCATTCTGGACCAAACTAATTGTTGTGGCCATAGGATTTACTGGGGGCCTTGTCTTTATGTACATCCAATGCAAAGCATATCTCCATCTGTGTCGACGCTGGAAGGCCTTCAACAGGGTAATATTTGTCCAGAATGTCCCAGGAAAGGTTGCCTTGCCAACATCAAATTCTCAGCCTCCACTGGCAAGGGAAGAATCATTGCTAGTGTCAGAAACATGTTGTGGAATTGTTGCCTCAGATGATATTGTAAGGGGAAAAAACAGAGAGACTGAATCAGCTAGTGCAACTACTGCAGATTTTGCTTTCCTTGAGGGGAGGCAGAAGACATTGACTAAAAGTAAGGAAGAAGGGATGCAACATGAGACTTCAGTTTATATGGCTGACAACATTCTTTTGGCATGTACTGATTGTGGAAATGAGGAATTACTTAAGAGAGATACTGTAACAGATAATGGCAGTAATTATCAGACCCTAATATCCATGTCCATAGAAAGTTGTGGTATTGCTGACATAAGTGATTTAAAAGATAGTGACTGTCAAGACAGTGCCGCTGACATATCAAGCAGAAAATTTTCATATGAAACATCTCATGTAACTGAAGAGAGTTGTTTGACTGGGAATGAATGTGAAGAAATGAGCCACCTTCTACAAGATGACAGAAAGTGTGAAAGTGTATGCATAATGGGTGGAAGTCACCAGGCTGCCAGTGGTTTTGTGTTTCTTCCATCTTCTCTTTCACCTCACCTGGGCAGGCAAACAGAACTGGTTGGAAGGGGGAAATTGCAAGACATAAATGTACTCAATACGTCCACTAGTTGTGCTGTGAGTTCAAGTAGCAGTGAAGAATCATTTCAGTCACCATCAGTACAGTGGTTGCAACAAAGTCACAAGTCATTGAATGGTACAGGACTGCCATTTAAACAGCAACAGACTCCTCCTTTGCCAGTGAGACCATGGACTGTTGGTCCTTCCAACTCGGGTATGAAGTGGGTAGCTGATGTAATAACCGATCGAACAACTGAAGTACAAGCAGCTACAGTCCGACCAAAGTTCTCTCTTGGTTCCCAGTCCCCACTTCTTCCAGTTGTTCCTGGAAGTGATGATCATACAAGTTATAAATGATGACTGCATAAATTATACAAAATTTATGAGGTGTGAGGAAAATTTATTTCAAAATATTTGTAACAGAATTCATTATGTTATCAAACTAGGCCTATTTAAAAACGTAATTCCTGTAAATGGTGTATTTAAACAATATATTTCAAGTACAAATTAAAAAATTTAACCGAAGTGTTTACTTCTTTTCTCTTTGGCAATATGAATGGAGTGAAAGAAAAATTATACATTAGAAGAATGTGGTAGTCATTTTACCATGTGACAATGGTAACTTAGACTTTTCTGTTGTGTAATTAGGTTGAGTTCCATTCACATGTTTTACTTACATTCAAATATTGACATTTGGACTATATATGGATTTTATCCCAGTTGACTGACTAAAAATTTACATATTGTACTTAATTAAAAGTATCTGTGATGTGTATGAAACAATACTTCATAGTTTTTCTGATCACCAATTGTAAAGTAATTTGTTCATAATAAATTAGTCCAGTTTTTAAGAGTATTAATTAGGTTTGCTGCTTGGTGTATGTTTAAGGCATAATGTAATTCAAAATGTTTTGTGTTGATTTTATATATAGTGCCAGTATAATAAATTAATTAAAGTGATTATTATAAGTTACAAAGTATTATGCTGTCATTGATTTATACTTTTAAAAGGGGCTTTGTAGGGACTGCTGTCTCAAGTCAGGTTTGAGATGTTCAGAAAAAATGCAATTTATTGTACTATTAGATTACCTCAGATATTAGTTCCACTACCCCTCTTTTCAGCAGAAAATTTTAAAGAAAGATTATTTAATTGTACAGATAAAATTCTTCAGTGCAAACATACATTTTTTTCTCCTCCATCCTTTCATAATGCTCACAGGTTAAGGTTCTCAGTTCTCTAAGGTTCACAGTGAATGCTTATCTGGTGAAACTATCATCTGGTATTTGTTCTTTGTATTTCATTCATTAGCACATATTGGCACCAGAGTACTGTATATCATAGATGCTAGAGAATTGTTGGTTTGTTTGGCAAATCTGATAGAAATGACTGAATGTGTAAGAAGAACCTCTTGTTTCCAAGTAGTTTCCTGTGATCATTACAAAATTTACCTCAGAAGTAGGGCAGCAGCTCCAGAGTACAGAACTGTATGTATCATGGTGAAAGCTATTAAAGTGTAATGATTACATGATGATGGATTTTTAAGGGTGATGAAAATCTGTAGCACTTCTTCAGAGGGGAAGTAAAGCCGGTGGTCCCATGTCATAGATTTATGGCATGTAGGAGCAGCTTATGAGCATGATATGAGATGTTTCGAGAGCAAAATTCAGCAGCCATTTCTCACCCAAATCTCTGCTGATTCACTACTAGATGGCTCTGGCAATCACAATCATGACTGTAGAAATTGTGCAGTCAGTGGGCTGGTTACTCACAAATGCACACATCAGAGACCAAGAAAACCTCCGAAAGGAGGCCCTATGCTCTGGAAAAGTGTGATAGGAAATAAAGAAGAAAGAATACATACTCTGGGACTCAGTTTGCTTACTGGATGTCAAAAATACTGCTAAAACTGTCAAGGCATTGCAATGCATAGAAGTCTTGAAATGCAATTTAAGGAAAAAGTATAACATTCTGAATAGGACGTTTTGTCAATATAATGTAGTGGTGTAACACTGGAATAAGGAGAAAAACAATTAATGTCAAAAGACGGTTTGCCTTTATTTGTAAGTACATCTCTCTTCAAGAATTAAATCCATACATTTTGTTGAAAAAGTACATGATCAATTTCTGGATGAGTAATAGAAGCACATTTTCTCAGGAAAGTAAATATATTATCACATTTTCTTCAATCTGGTCTTTAAAGTTTCAAGATAGTCCAAAGCATTAATATTGTGTTCACAAAATATGCTTTTAAATGTAGAGTATATGGACAAATAACACACTTGTTCGCAGCTATGGCAACCACTCAGCACATCAGTATGATGACACAGAACCCCAATATATAGAACTTTGGTACATATATATAATGATATACAATGTGATTCAAAACTTCCTGCATACCACATAGGGCAGTGTGTGAGCACAAAGATTTTTTTAATCACTCCACAATTCCAACATTTGTTCCTACAGATATAAAGTGACTTTGGAAACATTCTGTATCACCACTGTTGCCACCAGCTGACATTCAACAGAATGCTTGCTGTCTTGCATAGCAGTGATTAGGAGCTACATGTATGTAGCATGTATTTGTTCACAACACACAGTATGCTGTTTTAGCAGAATTGAAGGTTTCTAAGAATAGCCGAGTACACAGCAGTATACCAAATACAGATGATACAGTACATTTTATATAGTGTTGTACAATATACTGCATATAATATAATGTAGCACATAAAAATTAAATAAAACAAGAAGAAAATATATAGTACATTGCAATACATTCCAGTGTATTACATATATACAGTACAGTGTAATGAATAACTTGCATGTGGCTCACATAATAAAATGGGAAAGGAATTGATACCAATCTGAGATCCCCTATCGACCTAGAAGTCAACACTTTGAAGCCTGGAGGGGTGGGTTTTTTGTCTCTGATCTTGTGATTTTCTGACAAAACTTTTGTATGAATTTTTAATTTTCCCCATGTATACTAATGCTCTGCCCATCTCAACCACCTTTGATTTAATCAGCCTAGTAATATTCTGTATTCTCCTGTTACTTTTCATTTCTTAGTTCCAAATACTGTTTTATTGTTCTCGCACCCGTAATTTAACTACTGACTATTCATCATTTCTATTAAAGAAGCTTTTGACTATGGGATGAAGTGAAGAACTGTAAACAAAGTTAGGTACCTTACATTTATTCAGCCTTTCACATATAAGTCAGAAAATAGTCATGCAGAAATGCAATAAATATTATAAATAAATTACCCCTAACTAAAAATATAAAATTATGCTCTTAAAATCAACTGCTGTGTTACCCATTATAAAATATTAATACAGCTGAATAATCCATGTTTGTGAAGTATAATTTAGTAAAGCAGCCTACAATCCCAAGTATCCTAATCATCTGTGGATTAGTGCCTCTTAACTCAAAAGGGGTTATACAACAATCAGTCAAAAAGGTGCTCTGATTGACTTAGGGATGAGAAGTTCTCCTGTTCCCCTATAGATGGCTCTGTTTCTGTTTCTGCCATTATTTGCTGCAACCACTGCTGAACTTGAGATGGGCGTCGACAGTCACCGACAAAGCTGTCTTTTGCTGTTGTCACTGGTTCAGATGACACTTGACTCTACAATATGAAAGAAACATCTTTTGTAAAGTGAACCAGATTAAAGAACCTACTCCTGTTAGAATATTTCAATGGTAACATACAATTCCCATTGTTGAGAAGCTATGAATAGCTGATTTCAATTCTTGAGAGACAGCAGAGCACATTTCCTACACTGATCTTGAACACCAAATAAACTCAGATGATAAGTTCCTTGCAAGGCATCTTGTGCATTTTTATTTACTTCATGGAGCAAAGTCCTTCCTGAGAAGCCAACAGTCACTCAAAGACATTCCCAACATTTCATGGAACCCGAAGGTTAATTACTCTGTTCACAAGAGCCCACCACTGGTCCCTATCCTGAGTCAGATGAATCCAGTCCATACCACCCTATCCTGTTTATCTTGTAAGATCCATTTTAATATTTTACTCCCACATACCCAGATTGATGATCCCCAGTGATTTTGTCTATGTATGGACTTAACCTTGAGAGAAGGATGGTGGATAAAATTTTGTTTGCCTCAATAATTACTTGTCAGTTTTATTGCCCCTTCTTGTAAACTGGTACAATAATATACTCCTTCCACTGCTGAAGCAATTCTTCCTTATTCCAAACAGAATTAAGGAGTTTACGGATCTCAAAACATTAATGTTTCACCTCCTGCTTCAATCAGTTCTAGCGCAATTGCAACCTCCTAAGGACTAGGCTTAGGTACTAACAGCTAAAATGTATGTATTTCTGTTGCCTTAATATCACTAACCTTATGTACATTCAACAGCTCAGAGAAGTAATTCTTCCACCTATTCAAAGTGTTGTGGGAATCTAGGTTTTCATTATCCATGTGAAGGGTACAGAACTTACATTCACAAGTGTACATTCTGGAGTGGCCAATGTACCCTCCTGCTGTCCTTCGCTAAATCCCTTGAGACGTGGGGCAAGGCTAAACTGAACAACATCTTGCTGAGGTGTTGAATGATTTGAAAGAGGTTTATATAGGCACACATGGTCTTCATTTGCATCTTGGTAGTCTTCAACTCTATACCATAGAAAAACAAATAATTCACATTCTCATTTCCACAAAATGTCTTAAAAATTATAACAGCACCAATGTCTGAAGTCAACTCCTTCCATCATCAAATTATTATATTAGCTGTTCTAGAGAAGGCTTCTAGCCTATCTCTCTGATTTTAGAAGGAATACGGTTATGATACTGTACTCAAAACTGTAGCTCCATCTGCAGTACCATGAAGTACAAAGTGGTAATTATATTGCACAGGAATATGAAGCACAGTGCATGAAATGGTGATTACAAAAGCTATTTTCTCCTCCCCCCCCAAACACATTTTTAAAGCGTTCTTCTCACCTGTAAGGAACAGAAAATGGTGCCACATTTCCCTCAATTGCAACAAGATTTCCTCCTTCCACATTGACTTTCCCAAAGGTTAGAATGCTCTCACATAAATAATTCTCTTGGTCCAGATTCAAACTGACTTGAGGTATTGATTTAACAGCATCTCCACTGAAATACATAATCCACAATAGTGAGTGACTAAATTTCTGGTAGTAGAACCAAAATGTTCAGCACCACTAACATCAAAACCTGCCACTGAACATGCAGCTGCAATGAAATATTCAAATATTATACCATTTTGATAGTGTACTCCCATCTATGACAAGGCGTATGAAGTGACCTCTTCCCTTTAGGTTTTCAGACTTCATTTTTATGTATATTCAATTTTCCATATATATGCCCTTCCCATCTCACTCCAACTTGATTTGTTCAATCTAATATTTGGTGAGTAAAAATTATGAAGCCCTCATTATGCCTCCAAATGCAATGGTGTAGTTGCATGAGATACACCAAGTTGTTAATCCCATCTGTGGAAGCATTATGATACAACTGTCTGTGGCACTGAAGGGGAACATACATGATGCAGTTGGTAGGGACAGAGTGTTGTGACTGCAGAAGAGCTATCTGTTGACTGTGGAGAACATCAACTTGCCGTAACAGCTGCTTTTCTCGAGACTGCAATGCTTCAGTCAGCCTAGCAAATGATCCACGAAGCTTTGCTTGGGCCTTCAACAAAAACAAGGAGAATAATACTATCTTTAGTATTCCATAATCCACCTCATATATATCTTAAGACATATTTAAAACCAATAAGATTCAGTTATTTAATAATGCTTTTCAACTGAAGTGGTTATTTAGCTTCCAATGACATGATAAAAACAGGTGTGGTAAATGATGGAATGCAAAGTAAGACAAAGCTATATTTGCTTATTTGAAGGTACTATACAAACATATGCTGGGAGGGATGATAAAAAAAAAGTAATGTGTCAAGATGGCCATTAATGTGGCTATGATTCTAATCTGGGACCTTCCAAACACAAAGCATAACTGCTAACCACTTGAACACAGCAATCACTGATATTCATAAGAATACACAATTAAGAACTAATATTACATTTAATAATTTAACTATTCAGACTATGGTGACAATTACTCTGGTCAACAAGTTAAAAATATGGAAAATTTGCAATTATTGCACTACTCAACTTCAAGGAATCATGTTTTGGAAGTGTGGTTCAGAGCTAAAGACATGGAGGGGAAGTGTGATTTCATAAGAAACAGATACATGGCACATATATTTGCAATTCTCAGACAACTTTTCATTACACAAATCTAACCAATGTCTATACAATGGTAGTGCTTTATTTTATTGTGAGGAAAGAGAACTTACTTGGCATGTTGTTAGCTGCAGCAGCTGATGACAGTGGGCCAAGGTAGCTGCAGGATTTGTCAGATCTGCACTACTGTTTGATGGTGAACTTATCTCATCCTTCCTTTCTATCATGACAACTGTCTAAACAGTGAATGATGACATAATTTGTTATTTAGACAGTGATCCACATTCACTGCACAATATTCTGGGTATAGCACTATATTAAAGTGATACAATTACCAGTGTTTCAAAGGACCTTAATGCCTCCTTCTTCAGGGTGAATACCAAGTAAAGATGGTGCCAAAAGTCTTATAAGCGAATGTAACAAAGAAATCTGACTGGTACACAATCCTTTCATGGAATGTAAATAAATTATATTATTTTCCCTTGTCTACCTCCCAATTTTGGGAAGTAACTCAAGCAGTTTAAATCAAATGTATTTATTTTCATTACTATGTAGCTATATAAAATGCTTCTTCAGGAGTTAGCAGCGCTTTAAATTACAATAAACATGAAAGGGGTCAGTGCTTTTAAGGACTAAAATTTTCTGCGCATCCGAAAGAAAATTTGCGTATAGAAACATCAACAGGTCTGCACCCTCAATAAAAAGCTAACCTCAACACATATCACAAAAGATTTAATAATATACGTTACCTTTTCCCTAATTAATGTCTCTAACTTTATAAAATTCGGCCTAAATGATTCAACCACAAGAAATTACACAATCATTCCTAGACTTTACCTGGCATAGGTAAGTAAAGTGGTCAGCTGGTCTCTTGTGGCTGGTCGCTTCCACGGATTATAAACAATTTTCCAAAATGCTGTAAACCATGCATTAAGCATCTAAGGGGTTAACCGCCCACTAAGGAACACCAAAAACATAGCCAACCTACTATTTTCTTGAGTACTATATCCTTCCTCCGTGACATCGATCTGGTCATAACCGATGTGGTTAGCCTCTCAGAATTTTCAACTCTTCGTTTCTAGCAATTTAAGATGGCGAAATTAGGAGTACGTTTTGTGCTGTGTTTGTTGGTCTTGTGAGTGTGAAGTTTAGAGGAACATGTTGAAGTGAAATGTGCAAAGCTTGTGACTTTAGAATATATATGTCAGCATATATTGACTTAAGTTTATTAAAAGCTGATACGATACAATGTCAGCTTTTGCAGCTGAATACATGGAACTCAGAGGTCAAATTGTGAACCACTCTGAAAAATATTTAAGAAAAACGCATTTAAAGATATTGATCGATAAATTTCAACCTATCATAAACTCGAAAAGACTTTCCAGTTATGTAAATAATTTTAATGACTTAATAACCATACTGGAAAAAAGAAGTTATGTCGGGGAACACAACGTAGGTCCGTTTACGGAAATTGTACAACTATTGCCAAATGCTGACATTTTGAGTGAAATGTTGTCGAATTTCCAGACTAACAACAATAGGAATAGAATTCAAGGAATGCACATGAATAATAATGGTAAGAGCACAATGAGTGAACAAATTATTTTTCTTGGATCTTACAATAACGTTAAGTTGTGGGATAACTGCTTGCCATGTGCCATAGGAATTGCAATCCAATTAATTTGAAGGCATCATAGCAGGCTGTATATATCCAGTGTGCTACATCCAGATGTATATGGGTAAAGCACACTAATGAAATGTAAAGTAATTAGGTGTAAGAAAATATGATATTTAAAATAAAGCAAACTAACACAGTTGATAGCATGACAGGAGACAACTAATGTTTTACTGGTGAAGAGCATTTTGTATGTTGTGTAGCAGGTAACATGTCTCCAATCCTTCTTATAATCTGCCTATGATTTTGAATATTGGTGTCATGTGTCAGATATGTAATGAAAGGTAAACATTTTCTTTTTCTTTTCCAAGGAAGCACTGAACCTCCCTTTTATTCTTCAAGTAATTCTTCAGGCTCAAGATCTAGAAGTGCAGATATATTTTTCAGTAACAACAGTGTGCTACAAAAAGCAGGTATGTGTACAAACGTGCAATGTTTTTTAATGCTATATTGTACTCATTTTTTGTTATTTAGCCATTAATGTCACAGCATAAAATACATCACTAACTGCATGGAATTGCAAGTTTTTAGCACATAAAAATAACAACATATAAAGAGTGCTGTCATGTGGGATGTAGTGCTATGTAATCTGGTTCATATTGACCAAATTTTCAAAGGAACTTACTGCCTCTGTCATTCTAACCAGACTACACAGTGCTGCATCCCAGAAGACAACCATCTTGATACTTTTCATCATGAGAACCTCAAATCTCACCTGAACATACATGAACACCGGTATAATACATTGAAATAAACCGTAGATTTTTCCTTGCAAGTCTGCATGCTCTTCATATGTAGTAACATTATCATTAACCCAAGAATGAATGGTTTAATCCAAATATCTGCAACCAGTCTGCTTTGTATTAATGTTGATTTTGTATTCACTTGTTTAAATTCTTTTCCAGCCTTGGATCATATTTGTAAAGATATAGGAACACAGTGGAGAGAGCTAGCAAGAAATCTATCAATACGTGAAGGAGAAATTGATGACATTGAAGTTCAGTATCCCAGGAACTTGAAGGAACGTGCTTATGAGGTATTTTCAGAAATAGCAGATTGACTTTTCATTACTGAGACCTACAAAACATGTCTTCATATAAGCAGAATCGTATTTTATGAAAATGGAGACATCGTGTCTATATTCCTGTTTACCTTCATGACAATGTCCTTAAGCACAGTGCAGTCATCTTTTTTTGTTTATATATTGCCTTGTCATCTCTGTACAACATGTAGCTTGGATGTTCTTTCCCATGGGTTTTGATTATTTTTTATTTTATTTTATTTTACAGTGCATGAAGAGATTTATACAAGAAACAGAACCATACAAAGTGCAGCAGAAATTGCTATATGCTCTTGACAAATGTGGAAGACGAGACTTGAAAGAAGATGTAGAAGAAATCCTAAACAGGAGAGCATATTGAAGATGTGATGTTTCTCTATATCAAGAGCCTTCAAGCACATTTTTCTAACATGCATTTAATGTAGATACTTGTGACAGGACTCTAGAATTACAATTTAAGTCTATAGATGGTAACCAAACCCACTTGTCCATAGGCTTGCAGTGTGCATGGAACAGTTAATTTACATTAAATATTTAAGAATTCAACATTAAATGTCAAGATCATGGAGTAGATATAGTACATTTAATTTGCTTTCTTATCTACACTTTGCACATGATGAGAAATCATTGCTTTATTATGGATTTAATATAAATTAGACAAAGGCTTTATACTTGACACAAGTCTCGTTTTAGCTCACCAATGGCAAGTGATGCCATTTTACTGGAAATATACAGGCAGGAGTATATTTACAAATGTGTAACACCCATGGACTCTATTTACACTTTTCTTCTCCTAACCTAATTTTACATGGGTTAATGGATGAAAAGTCTCCAATACCTCATCTGTCTTCTCACAATCCTTACTTTTCAATTTGTTAGTAGCCCTTTCCTCTGTTCTTGATTTCTAGTACTTCATTAAACCACCTTGTTCAGTTAGCCCATGTTTCTTTTTCCTTTTAATTTTATATCCAACACCTTTGGTATCCTTGTTCAGTCCATTCTATTTAGGCAGTGCCATAGTTCAGCCAGTTAGTCCCTGGCATCTTGCTGTGATCACTGCCCCTGACCAAGCAGCATGTTCTACCCTTACTCCAAAGTTAGTGGTTTTATCTCTGACTCAGCACTTGAATGGTCTTAGAGTAAAGGTACCTTGTAACTATCAAAATATGTTTGGCAACATTGTAGTGTACATCTTTCAAAATTATGTATTGCTGGTACCTTTTATATCACAAATTAAATTTTTAAGAATATATGAATAAATATTCAAGTTTTTAGTTTTAATCTTTTAATATGTAAAATGTTGGAATACACTCTATAGATAATGAACTGAGTAAAGTTTATATCAGCACAAAATGTAAGCTGTAAATAACTTCCATAGCTTTAGATTGTAAACCTAACATATAACTGAATTAAACAGCAAAATGGAAAGAAAAAAATATTGCAATATAATTTTTTCCCCACATGAACAATCTGTAAAAAAGAACTTGAATAAGTGGAGTGTACGTACTCATTCCCTACCTTTCAGTTTCAGTAACAATCACTTGATATCTATCTTTATCATACATTTGATCTATAGCCTGTTCTCATCACTTATATATTTACACTTCTGTCCAATCATACAAATGAGTCCATTTATAAATTAAATATGTAGGTTTAAGAAAACTAAACATGTTTAGAAAGATTATGTGAAAAACAGTTATGGCATAAATGAACACACTCCTTGTTACTGGTTAGTATGCACGGAAGTTGTCAATATCTAGAAGAAACTTATTGCAAGTAAAATTAATAATGTATACTTAAATATTGATTTAACAGTACATAAAGACAGTAACTGGAGACAAAACCACATTAAAGATCTCTTAACCAAAATATGTCTTCTCTACTTCAATATTTGCATATATGAACTTACATGGTCATTTCAATAAATAGTTATTTTGCCATAGTTCACATTTTTAGAATCATCAAAAACAATTGCGCGATCAAACTTGTGTACCAATTTCAAAACATTTTACATAGAACTTTTTTGATATTTTATCCACAGTCTTCAACATTTAACTCTTTCCTAACCGACATAGGCTGTTATACTGTGTAAGTGTTTTTAGTAACTGATCCAGCTTTAGCCATAGTGTCTTTGTGGATCTGGTAGCCAATAGTAACATTACGGCCAATACTGAGGCGCTGTTTTAGTTTTCGCCTGAAAAACAAAAGAAAACATTGTAATGTAGCCACCTGTCAATCTGTATGCCATTCACATGAGCAATTATAAATTGTTCTCTCTGAGACATTTCAGGAAATTGGGTAGTGTTCCCATTTCATCTTCATTTGAATTTCCCACTAACATGTTTGCTACGTAAGGCAAACTTTAGTTTCATCCACCATGCCCTACAATTAATACCAGGGAAAATATAAATATCATCAGTTATTGGTATGGTATTACTAAGAATAACTAAAACATGTTGTTCATTATAGTAAATCTTACCCTATCTCTATAACACTTGGTGCTTTCACAGCATCTGCAGTCCAAATACCTATTTTATCTCCTTTTGCTCGAATGTTTACAACAGCTCCACAAACATCTTCACTATGCTCATCAAATGCTTCACCAATCATGCATAACAGCTACAAATACAGAAAAAATCAACACTATCACAGCAGTGTTCAATCATATTACATACATTACTTGTAACAGACTTTATGGGCAGTGATGATGATGATGATGTTCTGGGTTCTAGAGTGAAGAAGGAGACAGTACACTTCTCCGTTGAAATCTTACCAACAACTCATGGTGCCAGAACACAGAAGATCATCATCACTTAAACTTTAATCCAACCTAGGTGATATACTGTTACTTTAACACTTCCAAATATATATTACTTATACTACCAACTGGCAGGAAGCATTATTCCCACTCAATTGCTCTTGTAAATTAGACTCACACATACTCTACATTTATGTTTAAACTTTTGATACACATGTCAGATTTACTCTTTTATAATGTACATTTATCATCAGTGATTATAATGTCAGATGAAAAATGAAGATGATCATGATCGGTGTACATGAATATTGATATTAACAGTGTTGAACTACCAGAGTTTGTTGGCAGGTTTGTTAGAACACAAGAGAAGGGCCTGTACTTACTATTTCAAGCCAATATTTATCTAAGTCATTTCCTCTCTGATTTTTTGCCAGGTTTATTAACCAACGGCCTCCTCGCTTATTTGCATCATCTTCCCACATTGGACGAATACCCTTTTTAAACAAAGAGTAATCGCAACCCTGGCGTAACTCACTAGCCATCTTTATATGGTTGTACAAACTGTAAAATGAAATAAAAATCACAATGTTGCACGGTATAAATCAACTACGGATGGCAACTGTTATTCAGGCTTGTCACAACAGGTTTACAAGTCCTGTGGATTAGCACAACAAATACGCCTTAAATAAAAGACCCAATAGAAATTAATTAAATTACCTCCAAAAGTCTTCAACTGTATCAAAACTTATGATCTCTTTTTGATTTTCTTCCCAGTTTTTATTCCGGTCATTTTCATAATACCAGAGTGTCCAAGTATTCTGCAGTGGGTGTTTAATTTGAAGCTCAGGTGGCAGCTCGTCAACAACACCATCCTCCTTCTTTTCCACGTCCTGTCAACACAAACAGTACGCGGCAACGCTAAAATAATTAACTTCCGACAGAATAACGGCAGTCCATCCTGTTCCACGTTAACCTGCCGGCCCATGACCCCCAGCCATGCAGTGCCATTCACGACAATCATACTACAGCCTCTTGTAACACAATATATTTTTTAAATATCACACTGAAATTATATCGACGAATAATTGGAAACTACGATGCATAACCTACCTCCATTTCTTCTAATTTATTTCCAGCCATATCACACGCTTACAAACCACACAAATTGACCGACTTAAACAAAATACCATTAACGACACCTATAGGGAAGGGTCCTGTACTACGTGTATACATGTTTGTTTTATTTTACCATGAATTACATACCGTATGTATTTGTACTACAATATATAATCACATAACATCTGTTCTGTCATTATATGTATTATCAATAACAGTACATATGACAAAAATATACCTGACTGGTACAAAGAAATGGGGGAATTGGGGGTTCTTAATGACCATGAAAAATTAGACATTAGGTTAGCGATTACGTAATATTGTACAGTTTTAGTAAATATTTAATAATCGGCCAGTAATAGGAGATTCTATGCAATAACCTCTGCAGCTGATTCAGGGCCGTATTACAAAAATAAAGAAACATTATTTTCAACATTTGGCACTAATGATTCCAAATCGATACTCCTATATCGATATTCACACATTATGGCGCTGACTAAATCGATGCGTCTTTCTCGATATTCCTTCTTACCACATTTTGGCGCTCGCATTTGCCCAGCAATCTACCAATCAGAAGGAAAGAAGACTAATTCTTTCTGAGTTAGGCGCGTAGTCTTTATGTTTTTACTGTATTGAAGGTTACAGCAGGTAGCAAGGAAGGCGAGTTTTGTGCGTATTGTATGAATTATATGTTTTCTTGATTAGGGAATTCGTTATAAAGAAGGGAACACTGAAGATGTTTGAAGCTCGTCTTGTGCAAAGTTCCATCCTAAAGAAGGTTTTGGAAGCTATAAAAGATTTACTTAATGAAGCAACATTTGATTGTTCTGATTCCGGAATTCAGCTTCAGGCGATGGATAATTCACATGTTAGCTTAGTGTCTATGAATTTAAGAAGTGATGGATTTGACAAATACCGATGTGACAGGAATATTTCTATGGGCATGAATTTGGGCAGGTAAGTGCTGAGCAGAATAAACTGCTAAGCTACTGTGAGTTGATGTATAGTCACTAAAAGCCATACAGTATACTGAGTGATAGGATTTAATACCAAAGCCATCTCTAAGCTACGTTCTTTTGCATGTATAATAAATAAAGGTACATAGTTTTATTTATTTTCCTTCACATTAAACCTAATATAACAGCTTGACTTGTTACGTAAATTAATTTTCTTGTTTTGGTTTATTGTCATTTTGGCACATAAACCTACCCTAACCTAACCAAACATGTCACCAGATTCAGTTTATAGAAGCTTTTCCTCTTTTGTATAGTGTAATTCATTAACAGACTTATGTGAGGATAGTGATATAGTGAACAGTTCGATTTTCCAGCAAATATGATGGTTTCACTATCTTGGAATTATGCGGTTAATTATGTGACACAACATGTGTAAAATTTTTCTCATTTGGGAGAACATACTGTGGTATTAAATTGTGGTGACCAAATCCTCCTGTTACGGAATCTGAGGTTTATTTACAGTCCCTGGAATATACATAGCCTGTGATAACCTACCCAGTCTTCTCTACCTATTGATATTACAGTGAGGGTACAAAGACAATGCTTATCGTTGCTACCACCGAAATTAATAGAATGATTAGTATGAACCCCAGATTTAAGGCAGTTTCTTTTCTAACTTAATTCACCAATAGTTCAGGTAACTTCAAAAATAAAATGAAAGAAAAACATCAATTTGTCATCAGTCTTGTGATCTGGAATTAGGATTGGGATTTATGTACATCACATAAAGGAAGCATGTAGAAAATTTATAGTGTTATACTGTAAAAGTGTGAAGAGATTGAACTGTTAATTTTGAGTTGTCTGGTTTGATGATGTTTTATATTACATTTAAGTGGGAGAGATGGCCTTATAATAATATTTGTGTAAACAAATAGATCCTTTTCTTCATATTTACTGAATTATAATACCTATAATTCTTCCCCTGTGCAGTAATTTCTTGATAGTATTTAACATATGTTCTGTGAATAGTATGTTTGTCAGGTAAGTAAAGTGGCTATTGCTGGATAACTGGGGTTGATTCCTGTCATTCAGATTTTTTCTTTATCATTATATCAGTGCTGTCTATTGGGCATCATAGCTTCCTGTTCAATTATTGAATTTCAGGGGTGAATTGATAGTAGCAAGAAACTGACTGTTATCTCCATATTTAGTGCCAAAGTTAAAGAATGCATGGAGTTTTACATTCCCTCCCCTCACATGTCTTCATAGTGTTAAA